TTTTTTTTTTTTTTTGGTACTGGGGTTCAAACTCCGGTCTTTCTGCTTGTGAGGCGGGTGGCAACATTGAGCTAAATCCCTGGCCCTAGAAGGTTGTATTCTTGCCCCGGGCTCCTTCCTCCTCTCTCTGTTTCCCCCGGCTGCCATAAGGTGACAGCTTTTCTCTTTAGTGCCTTCCTTTGTGGCAACTGTACACAGAAGCTAGTCTTCATAGGCTGAATCTCCCAAAACTATGGACCAAATGAAATCTCTCTCCCTTTAAGTTGTGGGCATCAAGTATTTTATCCCAGCATAGGGAAAGGTGACTGATACAGAAAGTTTGCACTAGAGAAGTGGTGTTGCAACTGTGACTGTACTTGACCATGTGGTTTAGAAACCTTTGTAACTGGTTTGCAGGTGGAGTTTGGAAAGGTGTAGAGATGTGAGATAAGAAGCCTTGCAATGCTGTCAGCAGAACTGCATGGGTGATTCTGATTAGAACTTAGAAGACAAGAATGCTGAAAGGAATGTGGACAGTAAAGGCCAGGCTTGGGAGGTTTTAGCTGGGAACAGGGACTCCATTGGCAGTTGAACTATGTGTGCTATGCCCTAGCAGAAAATTTGTTGACATCTTGTCCATGTTCTGAGACTTCTCTAGCGATTGAGAATAAGGGTACTGTGCTAATTAACCTAGTGAAAGAGATTTCTAGACAGCCCAACAGTCAAGGTGTGTCATGGATATGACTAGTTGATTTTAGCTAAGTTCATGGTGATGACTGGGGGCAAAAGGCAGAGAAGAAAACTTTTCTTTAAATTTTGGCCCAGAATTATCCATGTATAAAATTGGGGCCAAAAGAAGTGTAGCCACTGGAGAGTTTAGTGCTATTAAAAAGGAACTAATTACTTTGCAAAGGGTCAAGAAGAGAAATGCCTTGGGGGCATCTCAGGAATTTCAGCAAGACCCCACCAATCTCAGGCTCAGTGGTGCAAAAGTACAAACCTTTCATTTGAGAAGAGAGCCCCTTGGCCCCTTGCTTGAGAGGGGCTGCCTAATGAATTGGCTCCCCAGGATTCATTTAATCATGCTCAACTATCCAGGCACTTAGATACCTCTGCAGTCATGGTCCAAGGCGTCCTAGGTACTGCCCATTCTGGTGGCAGACTTAGGCACCTTCCATGTGATGTGATTTTTTTTCAGGCAGAATGCAAGAGTTGTGGGTCATGGAGGATCCCAGCCAGATTTCAAAGGAAGATCTGGGACACCAGACAATATGTCCCTGAGACAGCGATGCCTGAAGATGTGAGAATAAAGCTGAAGGTACAGTGGAGACTCCAGGAAGTTAGAGGTGCCAGGATCATGGAATACCTGCTGAGGAAAGCTGCAGGCAGTATGTACAGTCAGCCCAAGAGAGAGGCTGTGTAGGCTGCAGCCAGCAAGGCCATAGGGGTGGGACTGCCCCAGTCCTTTGGAGTTCACACCTCACAACTTGCCCTGGGTACTGGACATGGAGCTACAAGTCTGTATATTTTGGGCTGGGGATTTAGCTAAGTGGCACACTGCTCCTGCCTTGCAAGTGCAAGGTCCTGAGTCCGATCCCTGGTACTGCAAAAAAAAAAAAAAAAAAAAAGGTTGTATATCTTGCAGGATTCTGGTCTTGCTTTGGTCCCATTCCTTTCTATACTGCTATTTATCCTTTTGGAATGGGAATATTTACCCTGTGCCATTGTACACTGGAAGTATTAACTTTGTTTTTGATTTTTACAGATTTCGTAGCTAAGAGTTTACCTTGAGTCTTGGAGGAGACTTTGGACTTAAGCTTTTCAGCAAAGCTGGAACTGTTATGTTTTTGACAACTCTTAGAGATATGGAGTAAATGCATTTTGCATAATGAGATGGACATGAGT